TCGTCGCGCCGACTGGCGCCAAGAAAAGCGTCAGGTAAGCCTTGGTCGGTGGTTTGGATTTGTGGCTTGGGGATTTGAGCCCTTGCTGTTGGTAGAGGGGAATTGAGAGAAACCATCCCTCAACCACCAATCACCAATCCAAACCCCCTGAGGCGGGTGGCTTATCCAGGAACTCATGGGGTTTCTTCAGGTTTTGGCTGGTCCACAGCGTGTCGTATTAAAGGGTCCTCTACAGCCTGAAAGAGGAAATTCTTTGATTTCCCCAGGAACGGGTTTGAGTCCAAAGCCAATACCTGCTTCTGATCCATAGGCTCGTAGGCGTGGACTTGTTAGCTGTTGCGCTTTTATTTTTTGAGTGGCCGAAAGAAGCTGGGTGGAGTTTTGTTTGTTGCGGGGGCCTGGTTGGAACCTTGTTTCCAAAAAGAGGTTGTGGTCCCGAACTAATCATAGGACACTTAAGCCCACGTTCTGCTCCCTTTTCAAACTGCCGCTTGATTCTATGTGAGCCGGGCTGATTGTGGGGGCTGCAAAGAGTCCCAACGAGGCCACTCCCATGAGTGGCCTAGGGGACCTCCTTGAACAGGAATCCTGATTGATTACTGCAGGAAGGGTTCTCTTTCCGTAACCGAGCGATAGAGATCAGCGCACCGTGAAAGAGAGAGCAACTTTGAAGTTTGCAAACCGACCTTTGGACCTTTTGGCTGCCCATTCTAGAGGCGTGTTTTTCTACTGGGTCTTTTGGAAAAGTGAGTGTTTCGACAGCGAGTGCTTGAACCATACTTGGCCACCTTTAAAGGGGAACCCTGCCGCAATGCTGTGTGTGTGTGTGTCTGTGTGTCTGTGTGTCTGTGTGTCTGTGTGTCTCTGTGTCTGTGTGTCTGTGTGTCTGTGTGTTTGTGTGTCTGTGTGTCTGTGTGTTTGTGTGTCTGTGTGTCTGTGTGTCTGTGCGTCTGTGGGTCGGTGTGTCGGTGTGTGTGTGTGTGTGTGTCTCTGTGTGTCTGTGTGTCGGTGTGTGTTTGTGCGTCTGTGTGTCTGTGTGTTTGTGTGTCTGTGTGTCTGTGACACTGTGTCGGTGTGTGTGTGTGTGTGTGTGTGTGTGTGTGTGTGTGTGTGTGTGTGTGTGTGTTTGTGCGTCTGTGTGTTTGTGTGTCTGTGTGTGTCTGTGTGTCTGTGTGTTTGTGCGGTTGTGTGTTTGTGTGTTTGTGTGTTTGTGTGTCTGTGTGTCTGTGTGTCTGTGTGTCTGTGTGTCTGTGTGTCTGTGTGTCTGTGTGTCTGTGTGTTTGTGTGTTTGTGTGTCTGTGAGTCTGTGTGTCTGCGTGTTTGCATGTTTGTGTGCTTGTGTGTTTGTGTGTTTGTGTGTGTGTGCGTGTGTGCGTGTGTGCGTGTGTGCGTGTGTGCGTGTGTGTTTGTGTGTTTGTGTGTTTGTGTGTTTGTGTGTGTGCGTGTGTGTCTGTGTGTCTGTGTGTTTGTGTGTGCGTGTGTGCGTGTTTGTCTGTGTGTTTGTGTGTTTGTGTGAATGTGTGTCTGTGTGTCTGTGTGTCTGTGTGTCTGTGCGTCTGTGTGTTTGTGTGTGTGTCTGTGCGTCTGTGTGTCTGTGTGTTTGTGTGTTTGTGTGTTTGTGTGTTTGTGTGTTTGTGTGTTTGCGTGTCTGTGTGTCTGTGTGTTTCTGTGTCTCTGTGTCTCTGTGTGTCTGTGTGTCTGTGTGTCTGTGTGTCTGTGTGTCTGTGCGTCTGTGTGTCTGTGTGTTTGCGTGTTTGTTTGTCTGTGCGTCTGTGTGTTTGTGTGTGTGCGTGTGTGCGTGTGTGCGTGTGTTTGTGTCTTTGTGTGTTTTCAATGTTTGAGCGAACATCCCTGCTTCCCCCCTTCTTGCAGGCGTTGGATGACTTCGCTCAGCCGGACGTGCTGTTGGGCTGCGACGTGCTGCTGAACCAGGCCAAGCCGAGGTTGGGATCGTCAAGTTGGCATTTCCAGGTGGCGGTTTTTGGAGGTGCTGAAACGTGCCACCAACAACCCAGTTGCCAAAAGCCAACAAAGCCAACCGTTTGACCTTTGAGTTTCCCCTTCTGGTCCAAGGCAGTCATGGCCCCAAAAGGTTAACCTTTTCTATTTGGGTCCTTTGGGCAGGCGAGATAAAGACACCGTGAAATGCAGCATGCACCCCTTGTATAGGTGGCACAGAACCTCCGTACCTCCAAAACCTATAAGGAAGGCCCTTGATAGTGGGGTTGGGGGTTGGCCACGTGATATGAAGTTGGGGGCCTGCTGTGCGTGATTTCATGAAGTGACTTGAAGCATTCGGACCCTGTTCCAATGCCGGCTGTTTGCCGTTCGGGATTTTGTTTGTTTGGTCCATTTGAGTCGAGGCCCCAAAGGTTTTTAGGTTATTTGAGCGTTCAGTGAATTCCGGGCAGGCGTCTTCAAATCCCTTTGGTTGGGTTCGGCACCCGCTGAAATTGCTTATGGCTCCGGAAAGGGGTTCCACATATTATTTTTGTTGTGCGGGTGAGGCACTGATGTTTCAGAGGCCGCTGCCGTTTTCGGCTGGTTTCGGGCGGACCTTACAGTGGGCGGTGTCCAACCTGTTGCCAGGCCGACGCCGAAGAGCTGTCTAGAGTCCTGCAGATTCTGATGCGAAGTCCGCAGCAGGCAGGGGGAGAGAGCCGCAGGCGCTGCGGGTACTTGGTAAGTGGTTGGCGGTGATAACCCGCTGGGGGAACAACAGCATGAGAAGTGGGTTATACAGTGATGGATGCCAACCACTCACAAACCCTGCCTCTATAAGTAGTTCTCAGCGCCCTTCTGAGAACTCCCATCGGAATTAAGGCCTTTTTGGTATTCTTTGCATACGTGTGCAAGGTGGCTCTGGCTTTCCGAAGGCTTCGGAGAATTCTCTACCCGGACCTCACGGACCCGCCATGTTCAGCTCGTCCGATGTGTTGGCCCGAAGTGCACCTTCGCCTGTGCTAGGTGGCGTACTTCATGGACCCCTACACCCGGCCTCACAGGAAGCTCTTCATGCCTCCCGGCGAAGCCAGGAAAAACGTCATGTACCTGTTATGCATATGAATATCATGGACAGGGACCCTTCCACCCCCCCGCCCTTAAGAAAGACAGAAAAAGCCGTCTCAAGGGTTGGGCTTACTCGGCCCCAGGCGGACATGTGGCCAACTAATGTCTCAGCGGTTGGGGGTGGGTAGGGCCCCTGAAGACCTGAGTCAAGGCGCCCGCTTCAAGAGATTGCCTTGTGCCGTCGGTTTCTCCAGGCATGCTTTCTTTGCTTTGTGACACATCCGCTTTCCTGCCCCCATTTTGCAGCGCAACCCCTTTTTTTGGCCGCCTTTAAAGGAAAAGCTCAAGGGGAAAAACCACCAGCTCCCAAAACAACTGCGACCTCCGGTGCATTTTTTTTGCGTGCTCGCCCTGAGGCAGTACTGTGAGTCCATGGGGCTGGAGGCCAAGGAGGACTTCTCACCCGGGGGAGGATTCATAGCTTTTTTTGTTCCCTCTTTGTTTCATTATTACGATTGTTAAACATATTATTGTTATTTTAATATGTTGTTTTGTTGTGCGAAAACCGCTCTAGGTCCGCTTTTGCGGCGCTTTTTTGTTTGTTTGCTGCAAGCTGCGAATCAGTTTGCTGGGAGTTGCTTCGCTGTTGGCTTGGTTCTCTTCCTCTTTGGTGGGTGGCTGCAAAGAGAAGAACGTGAAGCTGGCATAGCAGGGCTTGCTAGCTCGCTTCTTGGCACTGAAAGTGTACGAGCCTCCCTCCCCCCTAAAACACGACAATGACAAGTGTATGAACCTCCTTCAGGGGGGCGCCTCTAATTTGTTCAAACCTTTAACGGGACCGGTCAGCCCAATGACTTTGGCATTTCTTCTGGGCGATCCACTTTGGAACCCTGGTTGCTCAGGAGAAGCACCTCGCTTCCCAGCTTGACACTTTTTCGTGTCCCACACCCATCATGTCAATCCATCGGCTCTGGCGGGCCGGGCGCGCAGGAGGAGATTGTCACCTGGGAGCCGGAGTGGGACAACTTCCTGGAGTTCGACCGGGAATGGGCGGGGACCCCAGGGTTTGCCATGGCAGCATTTTTTCCAATCAGGAGCAAGAGGTGGATGTTTTCCTGCAATCGGGAAGTCACAAGTATGGGGAGGACCCACCACGGCTCCACTTAGCCCCGGCCAAACCCCAGGGATTTTGGCGACCCTCGTCAGCTCGCTCCACCCCCGAGGTGATGCGCCTCATAACGATCCGCCGGGCGTAGCTACGTAGCTACGCCGAGGGATCGGAGCCAAAAAGGCGCTCGAGCCATGCGGCAGTCCGGTGGTCATTCTGGTTGCAAAGGCTTCCATGTGCTTAGGAGTAGGTTTAGGTTTTTTTGTTTCCCCCTGTTGGTTTTAAAGGGAACCTTATGATATTATGTGGTGTATCACGTTTTCCAGGAGCCTCAAGCAAATGGAGGCAGGCGCTGCTTGCATCATGGGTGATATGGGTCATCTTTTGTTGGGACAACCTTGGATCAGCTACAAAGGGCATGTAAGCCTGATGTTTGCGCGGGCAGGATTGGTTTCCCACCTTTTGCTGTTACGCATTGCCTGGATGCATGGCTGGGCTGAACCACTGCCTGCCGTATGTGTCATCTGCCCGACACAGCGTTTCTATTTGCTTAGTTTGCCATTTCAGCGCTGCTGGTTCGGGAGTGGGGCTACCTGCGGGAACTTGTTTATCACTGGCCGAGCGCGGCGCTGGCAAAAGGTGCTCGCTTCCGGGCCGCGATCCTTGTGTGGTGCTGACTGGGGGAGGAGCTGGGTGTGGGTCAAAACCAATGGTACCATTTTGGGTTAGGTGCACCACCCGTTTTAGTCTATTTTAGTGGTTGGATTGGGATGTTCACTGCAAGTACGGGATTTTGACCCATGGCCACATGTGAAAGTCGAAACCACTCACACATTCACCCCACCCAAACCCTCAACTCCCCCCAGCTCCCGTTCGCGCCGAGGAGGGCCAATCGAAGGCGCTCCGGGAGACCCAGGGGGAGCTGCGGCTGGAGGCGCCGATTTCCTCCGATCTCCGGAGCTCCGCTCCATGACATCTCTTGACTGCTGATCGATAGACTTTTTAGCTTTTTGGTTGAAATCAAGTTGGGATTTTCACTAAACCCCCAAAAAGTTAAACTTTTGGCAGGGGGGTCAACAGCAACCAAGATCTGGGGGAGATTCTCCGGAAGCTGCCTAGCTAGCTGGGGGTTGGGAAAAAACCCTTTCCGGAGCTGGGGGTTGGCGGGGGTATTCCACATTCTCGCCTTTGCTTGGTCAAACACATTCAAGGTTGCGGAACTATAGTCATCCGAACTGGTTTGCTTTGGTGCATGCCGTGTTCGGCTTGAGACCCTTGCCAGCAAGGGTGCAAGTTGCCTTTCAGAGATGGAGCCATAAACTCTGGAACAAGGATCAAATGATTTCAACTGGGTATGTGTCAACATCGGGGGACCAGCCAACATTTGTTTTTTTCCTTTAACCCCACCCCAAAAGGGGTACAAACTCCAAAACAAAACACCCAACTAGATTCAACTAGATAACCAGATTCAACTCCCAGGTGGCCGGGTAAGGCCCAAAGCAGCCGTGCAACCCGCGCAGGAGCTGAAGTTGTTGGACGCCCTGCCGCGGCTGCAGTGTGAGCTGACTCGCCCCTTGGCCCCAAATCGCCCGAATCGGAACAATCGGATTTCAGGAAATCCCGGGCTGAGGAGTTGGCTTGAAAACCCACCTTTTGACCTTGTAGTCTTCCATTCAACTAAGAATATTTTGTGATTTTCCCATGGTTTCAAAGGGAATCAATCACTACTGGTTTCAAAGTTCATTTTTTCCAGGAGGGCTTCAGCAAAAGGATGTAGTTCTCCCATCGTGGCAACAACTTTTGGAGGTTCCAACGGGTGAACACTTGTAGGTCCGTTGGGCAACTGAGAAAAGCTAGACTGGCAATTCCATGGTTTTTTGGGGCCCGGGATTCCCCATGTTTCCTACATTGTCAAGCAGTTTCCTGGATACTTCCGGGCTTTTTGAGTCATCTCAGACTTGGCTTGACTCATTGACCCAGAGCTTCCCTTGTCCCCCTCGTCCTTCCGTTTTGGAGGGGGAACCCCGCTGGATCTTTGGGTTGCAACACTGGGTCTCAGCGGTGCCATGTTAGTAGCAGCAATGGGGGTCGCATGTTACTGTGGGTGGACTGAATCCTGCACCACCTAAGCCCTGGAAGTGTGATTCCCCCTGTAAACAACAAGAAACACTATGGTTTCAACCATGCTTCAAAGTAGTGCGAAATGGATTTCGCAACCATCCGCAGTATTTGTGGGTGTTTCCCAAACGGGAGAAGCCCTGAGACTTGCTGGTGCTCAAGAATGAGGGAATGAACCCAAAAATCCTTTTGATGGGGTTGGGGCTCAACTCGCCGAGTAAAATCCGCGCCGGGGAGCCTTCGATAGCTTTTGAGCCAACGCCATGACGCCATAAGGGGGCTGGTACGGCTGAGGTCAGGAGGCGCAGCGTGAGGCCGCCGAGCGCAGCCGGGCTCAGGACTGCGAGGGTGGGTTTGGCCAGGGCTCCCCAGAAAAATAAATAAACCAGTGTCTCCGACTCACTTGGCAGAAGCGGATCGCACTTTTAGCTAACTTTTTGGTTTCCTGATTTTGTCCAAATGTTTAGTCAAGGTCTCAAAAGGCTAACCTTTCAATTCCAGGTGCTTCTTTTTTGGGACCTCACATGGCAGCGAATTCTTGTCCAAATGGATCATGGCACCAAACAAATGAATCGAGGTCACTGAACATAATCTGGTAAATCAGCTTCCCCCTTCACTGTGGACATGCAAAACCCGGATGGAATTTGTGGTTTGGTTGGATTCCGGGGTGGTTTCCCGTTTACCTTCTCTAAGAACCAGGGGAACCAACAATCCAAACCCAGGTGGTACCCCCAGCCCCGGAACCCCCTGGAACCAAATCTCCGGAACCCTCCTGAAAGCTGCCAACCCTGGGCAGAGACCACATGGCTTCCAGCCGTTGTGTAAAACTGCAGTGTTTCCTCGTGGCCCTGGTTCACATTCCTTTCAGTTTACCTGTGAACCAAGGTGGTTTCAGGGGGGGCACCTTGGCAAAGACTCCCAAACTGGGAAAGCGCTTGCTTTCAGAGCCGACCGGGCGTTTGGTTTTCCCGGGTCCCCTTTGGCTTCCCTCAGCCCAGTCTACCTGTCTCTGGGGCCCTGGGCCTGTTTCTGCTCTCGCGGCAGGCTGCCACGAGAGCAGTCTTCGAAAAGCTGCGCTTGTACGAGGCCGGGGCAAGTGCGAGGCGTTCCTCACCTGATTGGAAGAGGAATTGGGGTGTGGGGGTTTCTGAAATGCAATCTTATGTGTCCCTGATGTATTTGAGTCTGCGACTGTTGTATTTTGCAGATGTTTGAGCAGTGAGAGGTCAGAAACTTATGGTTCAAAGAAGGGGGACCTGCCGTTCCTGGAACCCGGTTTTAATTCCCATCTCGTGTTTCCAGGATAGTTGCTGCCCCCAAACCGCTGCCTCTCAAATGAACAACTGGGTATATGGCAGGGTGGTTGTATATCCCGTTAGTTCTAAGGGTTTTGTATTACACCCTGAGAATACACCCACTGGGTATTGACCCCACTTAGGCACATTTCCGGAAAAAGCCGTGTTATTTTGAGCTATTCTGGGTCATTTCCCAAGGGTGTAATCCCAGGGTGTAATACACAAAACCCTCAGATGAGTGGTGAGTGGTTTGGGGGTGGTTGCCGCTGGCCACACGCAGGAGTTGCGGGCCGAGCATTTGACTGCAGCTCAGGAGGGCGGGATCGATGGTACGGGAGCCGGTCGGTTCGGGAGCTGGGCGTAGCCGCTGAGGGAGCTAAAGAGACTAGGTCCCCCAGTAGTGCCCTTCTCTCCCCATTTTTTTTTGGGGAGGGTTCCCTTACTAGAATAGACTACAGAAAAAAGGGTACCCTTATTCAAACCTCTCTACTGGAGGACCTAGGTGACGTGGTAGTTTCCCTTCATTTTTTGGAGGAGGTGGGCTCTTGGAAGCGGGCATAAGATAGAAGGAACGCTGGAGCTCAAAAACAGGTTTTGGGGGATGGACGTCTGGCACCGTGTTACATAGTTTGGCACAGGGTCTAGTTTGTGAAGGCCGATCTTCAGGATGGGGATGGGAGGACAGGATTGCTCACATTCGCTCACCGAGTCCCTTTGAGCGTCAAGATTTCTCGAAGCCTCTAAACGATAAAAATGGAAGGGACAAATGATGGGTTCGTTCAGGTTTTCTCCAGAGACAATTTATCTACCCGCGTGCCCATCGGGCCTTCACTCTGACGCAAGCTTGGTGGCATTTCTGGAATGACCTGAGGGCTCAGGGATTTCACCCGCGGTTATGAATTCCTTTCTCTGCCAGGGCCTTTAGGATAATGTTAGCTTCAGATCAATCCAGAGGACCGTACTTAACAAGAAGTAGGAGGTTCCTCTGACTAGTAGAGTCCTCCGGACGAATCTGAAGTCAACATTGACCTTATAGGTTCTATGTGTACATATACAAAGTGTCCTCAAATTATCCTTCAAGTAGCGATTTTAAGGGAACCAACTAATCTAATTTTGAGAACCTCTTCGTATGGGCATGTGCGAAAATAGCGGGACCCAACAAAAGAGAGGTGGTTTTCCCCTTGGTTTCCCTTCAAAACAACTTGGACAGGGTACATTCCAGAAACACAGATGCACATGTAACCACTTTGAAGGGGGCCATGAGGAGCTGGCCGCCTCAGTGGAACCAGCGCTAAGCGCCGTGCTCATGCTGGAGGCCGAAACGTCCGACTGGGGTGGGTTCCCCGGAGGACCCCCCAAACTGGCATCGGTTTTCTGCTTGCCCATTGTTTTCCCTTTGAATTCGACCACCTCCAAAAGCGCACGCCCAAATGGCTATCACATGTGGCATCCCATGAGTGGCTTCACAGTGGTGCTGCCTTACCAAACCCAACATGGTGCCCTCAAAAAACCACCAGCGTAGAAAATGGGGTTTCCTTCGACATCCCTTCTGTGCAAAATGTAAGGAGCTCACCAGAGAGTAACACGAGCTCACACATGATGGGGGCTTGCCTCGATTTGGCAATTCGCCATTTGCCCAAGAAGTGTGTCCTCCAAACAAAACACACTTAAAATTCAGCTCTTGACAGTTGGGCGAGCAACTGACCAGTGGTCCACGGCTGGTGTGTTCTTAACCCTGCGGTGCTCGGCGCGGAGCGGCTCCGGGCCGTAGGGAGGCAAGCTATTGAAGGCATCTACGAGTTCGCCTGAGGGAAGGCCTTTGCGAAATGCTTACACCCGCAATCTTCGGAAGGGGGGGGGTCCAGGAAAAACATGCAGCGCCGGTTTTGGTGGGGCCTTTGTTTCTCTCGTGGTTTTCCTGTGAATAATCAATACCTGTTCAAGCGGAACGAGCCATGCGGTTCCTAGCGGTCGCATCGGAAACCCCGGCCCAGGCGCCAGTGCCTTGCGGCATCGGAGGCACAAAAGCTGCAGCACCTCAGATTTACTCTGATTTCGGTCCAGACCGACTTCTGTGCCAAGAGATATGGATGGCTTGCTTTGGCTCAACAAGGGCGATGTTCGTCAAATGAATGGTAGTAAGGCTTTTGCTTTTTACTTGATGCCGCCACCTGTGCCAATCAGATGTCAACAGGCCATGCTTTGTTCAGTCAAAGTGTGAGCTCGGGAGTGGGGGCTCAGTCGACTCATGGAATTTCCAGGTCTTGGGGGATTGGCATCTCTTTGGACCGCTGTAATGCAAACCAGACATTAAGAAATGAATCAACTCAGATCAATCTGCACGGGGATGGCCCAGGTTGGTATCACAGACCAGTGCGCCTGGTGTTTTTGCGCCAGGCGCCGGCTATCCCAGTCAGGCCGGGCCGGAAGTGGAGCTGGCTGGCCCAGGTGGGGCTTCTATTTTGAGCGCCCTTTCAAGGGAGAACAACCACATTTTTGGGGTCCCTTGATTTTGAGCCAAACCCTTCCCTCCATATGTGCTGGAAGCGCCACCCACTTTTGCAGTCGAAGCTTTTCAGACCAGTTTTCGCACCCCCGAGCTGGAAGCATTGGGCAACCTGCACTTTTCAGGGGGGAGGCCCCCCACCCCCAAGTTTTCTCACGGGTTCAGCTGCAGGCTGCGTTTGTGGGGTGGTTTTTCCGAGGAGAAATCCTTCCGGATGTGCCAGCTTAGGCCCCCGCCCATTTGCACGCGGCTGGGGAAACCCTGCAGAAGCAGTGCCCGAATCTACCATGCTCATGACTGCGTGAACACCTACCCCTCGCTTTGAGGCCTGCCCCTTGTTTCGGCGCTCGCCTCTCAGAGGGCCGGCTCAAAATCGGGCTGGCCACCCCGACGTCGCCCAGTGGCCCAGGCTCCGAGCCGGACGGCTTCTGTTCGGGTTCGTGGCTTAAGAATGTGTCCTTTAAAGGGGTACCTCATCTTTTTCTGCTGGTCACTGGTTGCAACTGGCAACCGGGGCAAGGAGCAACCAAGGCAAACAAAAACGCGCGCAAGGAGCAACGGCACCACGTCAGGCGGCACGCGCATCCGTTACCCCGCGCGCAGGCGCTGCAGAAAAAGCGGCAAAAGCGGCTTTGGGCCATGGCGGAGCTGGTGATCTACGGGCGGGACACCTGCGCCTTGTGCAAGAAGTTCAAGAAGGACTGCGACAGCAACAAGATCCCCTACAGGCGCTCCGGCATTTGGGCCCGCTCGATGGGTTGGGAGGGGGGTCTCGAGCCCGGGAAAGGACGAGTTTTTTTTCTTCTCGGGAACCTGGCTGTGGTTGTAAAAAATCATTAGGGTAGACCCAGAATGGGTTGCCCTGGTAGGTGGACACGCAAGGTAAAACAAGACAAACAATCCACATCCTGATTGACTTTTGACCCATCCCCACCTGACCGGCGCTGGGAGACCAGCCTCATGAAACCTGACTGGAGGTTCCTCCCCCTTTGTCTGGGAGGATTCCATGGGAGCCATGAGTTTCTTGGACGGGGCCCGGAATGTGGGCAAAGGGGAAAATGGAGCAGGGGTAGGTTTGCAAAGGTCCATCTCACAATTTCAAAGGTTGATCCCTCCATTCTGTTGATCTAGGGGAGAAACCATGTGGGGTTTTGCTTGACCACGTTTGAGAGGCGAGATGCCCAGTGGGTCAATGACTTTCAATTGCCACGGGTGGTTACAGTTTTGCTACCAGGGCTCCCCTGGCCATAGTGGCCGTAGGCCCTACAAGAGGAAGCGTGACAGCAGAAGGCCACGTACTGTAGATGTGTTGTTGTTTTAATCAAGATTCCTCTGATTCGTGCGGTCTTCCGGATTAGCCCGAAGTTGACATCGACAGCACGCTGTTGAGTTCCTAAGCTGACCGTCTGCTTCTCCAACGATCTCCGGTGTGGGGTCGGACCCTTTTGGCGAAACTCCAGGAGGGCATGCAGGGTATGTCTTTTTTAGGGGACCCAAAGAGTGGTGGTGGTCCTTGTGGTTTCTCTTTAAAGCCATCCAACAAAGACACACCTATATGGGGGTTGATCAATCTTCCTGGTGGCCCCAAATGACCCGTTTAGTGGGGGAAGTCAATTCTTTTTGGTGGTTTCCGTCAGCTGATGGTCACCCCATGTTCATCGGACGTTTGATCAACCCGCCAAGTCATCCGCAAAGCCCACAACCCATAGGAGCGCTGCAAGGCGTACCATCAACAAAGACAGACCCACGTTACACACACACACACACGCACACACACACACATATATATATATATTTATATGTATGGGTGTGGGTCAAAATGAAACCACCAGGGGACCGCAGGTTTTAGTCCTTGGTTCCAATTACCGGGGTTTCATTTTGGGTTCCCATTTTTGACCAACAGCCACTCACACATATATATATATATATATTTCTACATTTGAGTGTTTTCTCCGGCTTGTTGCAGATAGCGAGGTATGCCAGCATCGAAGTGGCTGCCAACAAGGCGGGCGCCTCCAATTTTTGAGACCGATTTCATCCCTTCAAAGTGACCAAGTGATGGGCCATGGGCCGCCCCTTGGTATCAAAGAAAGGGAGACTTTCCGCAATGAATTGGATTCCCTTTCAGCTCCCATGGGGATGTTGTGTTGGGTCAACATTTGGGACCATCTTATCTTATGTGCTGGTCAACCAACATGAGTCATGAGGAACTCTCGGATTTGAATCCCGGGTTGAGGGTTGAACGTCGATCGAGAATCAAGGCCATGACTAACGCGCAGAGGGATTATTTTCTGCTTGATTTTGCAGTGGGAGATCTGCCAGACAGGTGTCCTCTGGACCCCGCGGGAAGAGTCACTTGCTCCCTGAGGAACAAACGGGCCTTTTCAGGCCTGAGGATAGCGCAGGGAGAATAAGGAGTGCTCTACCCTTCTTTGGTCATTGCCTTCTGGTGCACAGAATCTCCCAAAGAGGGCCAGCATGTTGACGTCCGCGTCCGCTGGCCGGCCAGGTCGCTCGGGCCAACCCAACAGCGTTCTTTTTTCAATTTGTGACATGCTGGTGACATAGCGGTTGCAGTCACAAGGATTCTCACCGAGAAAATGAACGGACCGGGAAAATGAACGGGGAAGGGTGGATAGATGTTTGCGTTGGCTTGATGTTGGCTCGGTTTTATGGAAGTTCCTTTCTTCACTCACCGCACCCCTCGGATGGCGAATGGCGTGGGGAAGACCGTCATAGCGTCGCTTCCCTGTTGGGGTGTGCCTTCTGGTTAGGCTCATTGATAGACACTCAAGGGTTTCTGCATGGAATTTGCAGCAAGGTGCAAGGCCTTCCATTTAAAGGGACCCCTGTCAGGTTCCATGTTACTTGGAGGCAGGGCGCCTAGACCCGACAAACAAGAGAAGGTTCAGTCGGAGGAAGGCATCTTGGGCAAGCTTGAACAGCAACTCCCCCCGAATGAACATGTTGGCCCTGAATTTTGAGCACGGAAGCTCACAAGTGATTGGTGGATTTTGATGTCCACACCCCGGGTCCCCAAGGAAAGTCATGGCCACTTGCTTGCAGGATGTTGGTAGGACGATGAGGCGTTTCGGCAGGTTTGGACCTCGGCTCGGATCGACCTTGGGACATAGGGTTCCGCCTGAGTGCTGGGCTGTTGCTCCGAGCCTTTAGAAAAAGGACCTCAAAGGAAGAATGCTGGGAAAACAAGGGTCCCCAGCCCGTAAAAATGAAGTGGGGGAGGGGGGGACGCCGGATTTGGAAGATTCCCAAGCTGTTTTCAGAGCCTGTCTGGGCAGAGAGGATGGCCCTTTGGCTGGGGAACCGCATTTTCTTTGTGTTCCCTTTTGAGCCGACTCGGTGTTTGGTGTGTCTTGGTGTCGGAATGGATCCACGGGAGCGAGGGAGCCGACTGAACTGGCCAGTCGGAGATGGCGCGGAAGCTTCGCACCTGCTCCTGGTTCAAAGGCCGGGGGGGGGGGGGCGTTGGCAGGGCGACTCAGCTTCCAGCGCGGGCAATGGGAGACGGGTGGGGGGGGGGGGGTGGGCTACAGGGTTTTTCCTTAGTTGTTCCCTTTGGCAGTTTCAGTGGACATTGTCAGTAAATTGAATTTTCGGAAAGTGGCCCATGGTTGTGGCAAATTGCGGGGGGGGGGGGGGTAAGAAAGTAGCCACAGGGATGGCCTGATGTGCGTGTTAATTTATCGTTGGCGGTCCCTTCCAAGACGAGGACCTTTCCTCCCGGACTGTTGTCCATTTGGTTGTTGGAGAACAGGGCGGGCAAGAAGGAGCATCAGCCTTTTCAGTGTCCAAGACGGCTCCTATTTTTCGGTTGGGACACCTTGCATGCACCTCAATTTCAATGAAATCAATTGAAAGGCATCTTGAAGTCTATCTTTGGAGGGTCTCTATGTTTGTTTATCTTTTGGAGGAGGATCTCAGTTGGGATCCCTTACTCTCTTTCCCGCGGCAGCCTCTCCGGGTTTAACGGCCTGTTTCGGGGGAACCCTCGTTGGCGACTCCCGGCCACGGAGTAGCCAGGCGGAACCTTCGGCCTGCCCTTGGTGGACGTCTTCGGGGACATGAAGGCGGGGTCAGCCTCGGCGTTTTTTTTTTTTTTGGGGGGGGGGTTTTTTGTTGCTCGGCTGAACGAAGATGTGATTTAGGTCAAAAAATTACACCACGGGGGGACCGCAGGTTTTAGCCCATGTTTCCATTTACCAGGATTCCGTTTTGGGTACATATTTTTGACCCACAGCCATTTCTTGGGAATCCAAAACCCGGAGAATGCCCTTTTTGCAGATTCGCAGCGCTGAACGCCCTGAATGTAGCAGCCAACCACTGGTAATTAAGTTTAGCACCGGAGACCCTCAAAGAATGCATGGGTGCGGAGAATTGGAGGCGTTTGGATCACACAACTTTTCTTTTGAAAGAAAGCAAGCCGCCGGTCCGCAGCTTTACGGCGTCCTTTCAAGGGCATCCCAAATCCAGGTCCGCAAGGTGGTCCAGCCAGTGAACGCTGGTTCTAACTCCCGTAGTGAGGCTTCGTTGAACAATCCCTGCAAGCAGGTTGGATGCATCTTTCCTGTTCCCTCCCCCCTTGGCCTGCTGTCAGCCTTTTGCATGGGGCTGAAAGAGTTAGACCAACTCTGCTGTTCAACATCACCTTCCTTGCGTCCCAGTTGCAGTTGTTGTTGTTTGAATTTTTGGATATGTTGTTCTATTTTGTAAAAAGAAAGAAAACGCACAAACACACAGCAACACAACAAGCAAACCACAAACACATGAACCACACGCCTCGGGTTTTGCGGCATCACTCCCCAGGCCATCGAAGCCATCGACGATCTCTTTGGGTCGATTTGTCGATTTGGCCGAGGAGCGGCCCACGGTGGCCAGCGTGCAGGAGGCCCG